TAAATATTTAGTATACATTAATTATTTATCACAAATAATGATTGTAGACATTTTTCAAATCTTTTCGTGATATTTTAAAAATATTTTAAAATGTTTTAATATTATTTAACGAGAATGGATTAAACCTCATTTCTTTATTAAAAAAAACATGTATTACATTTGAAATAATGTTTTGTTAACGTTATAAAAATGTTTTTGTAAATGTAAAGGAAATGAATTTTGTACAAATCTTATAACGTTAAAAAACATTATTTTAAAAAATTAAATGTTTTCTAATAAAAAAGAGGAATTATTCCATTATTTTTAACATTTTGAAAATGTTTTTCCAAGATAATTTAGTTAAACATTTAATTTTTTTAAATAATGTTATTTTAAACTTTAGAGATATTAAATAAAATAGGCGAATCAACGCGCGTATTTGCTAGGTACATTATAATATACTGTGAGCACTAAGTATATATTTTATAAGCATACATTGTAAGAACATCGTAGGAATCATTGGAATCACCGCGTGCCGCTCGATCGTCAGGTTAAACAACGCAGTCAGGATGGATGAGTAACCGGCATACCGCTTCGGATCAAGCGCTGCGATCACGGCGCGACGACGAGTACGTATTGAACAAAACAACGCGACCGTGTAAGCTTATCTGAAATTTCTGGGTCGATTGGTCTTCCGAGTCAAATATCTCAAGCATGAAAACTATAATTAAAAATCTAATAAAAGTTTCTTTATATAATGTTTAGCGCGCACGTAATTTGCACCAAGTTTGATTAAAATTGGTGCAGGCAATACGGAGATCTCGAAACCTCGCCCGCTAAAAAGTCTTTTTATTTTCGCACAAGATTCTCAATTTTTTTCAGACACACGTACGCACGCACACAAGCGAATCAGTTTGTCCATCCAAGCCGCATTTGCATCGCCAAGCGATTTAGCTTCAGATCACACGTATACGCACGCACACAAGCGAATCAGTTTGTCCATCCAAGCCGCATTTGCATCGCCAAGCGATTTAGCTTCAGATCACACGTATACGCACGCACACAAGCGACGCGCATTTGCCGTCAGATTGCGTTTGTAACATATATAGGCTGCAATAAGCAACATGTTCACGAATTTACGGTAGACCAGAGGAAAAGATTTATGATCGACTATTATATGTACACCCAGAGGCAGGTGTCGTGTTCCTCGGCGGGCCCGTATACGCCTATCAAATAGTCGAAAGCAACAGCAGGCATATACGAAGGACGTACTGTACGTCTTACGTACAACGCAAGAGAAGCGTAGAAGGCACGTAGGGGAAGTGGTGGGAGACATTTCGATATTGCATCTTTATCGCACGTCGTCCGATCGAGAGAGAAAACATCAACAGACGTTACAGTTGTTAGTGATGTCCTCAATAGCTGTTTCACTCTAGTATCCATGTATTACGCTTTCCTCTTTTCTCCTTAGTAGAAATGCACGTTGTGCTGATGAATGACACCGAACGACAAAATTTAACTTTTTTGTTGTACGAATGTGAATAGTCATTTCCGATGTATTTTTGTTCGCTAAGCACAAATTCTTAGTCCAAATTTAGTTACCGCGTTACATTTTTGAAAAAAATACATCGGAAATAATAGACATATTTCGTCATTATAAGGTCATTAAGATGCGTCCGCATGTAATATTAAGATATTAAGATCTTTACAAAGAATAAATTTTGCCAGCATATGAAAAAAATCATCTGATGCTATAAACATTTCAGTAATATTGCTGCATATTCTGATGTCAATGGTAATGGAGAAAAACATTTCACAATTTGACATATCCTACGGAATGGAATAAATTTTCTTCTTCGTAAATTTCATGATAACTATCAGTATAGATATATTAGTATGTAACTATAAAGTATAGACTTTTTTTTACAATTTTAAAAAGAAGCAGATTTTTTCGCAGTTTCAACATATCTAAGGGCGCGATCCATTGCACGCTGCAAACGCTTCGAAGTCTAAGCACTTATGGCTCCTGCACACAGGACGCGGTAATGCTTGCCGCACGGCGGAATCCGCACGACAGCCAATCAATATGTTGTTTTTCCATAAGAGCTAGAAGATTATTACGGAAAGCAGCATATTGATTGGCTGTCGCGCGAACTTCCGCCGCGTGGCAAGCATTACCGCGTCCTGTGTGCAGGAGCCATTAAAGTTACCCATGCATTTCTTTTAAATCGCTTAAGACCGGGAATACAATAGGTGTAGTAAGCTTTAAACATTAAGAAATTAAACAATCCTAGTCGAATTTTACAAGAATAATCGAATGAAGTTTGCCAATTTCTTATGACTTAAAGCTTACTACACTTATTGTGTTCCCGTGCTATTTTGACGTACTGTACTAGATGGAATGAATTCTTTTCATAAATCTTATAATAAAAATTGTAATATATCGTTGTTTTCTTACAAATTAAAAAAAGTAAGAAAGAACTAATAATGTTATAAGGCTCTTATAAAAATCAATTTAACTCTAAATATAAACAGTAGGCCCTTATAGAAATATCATACTAAGAATCATTGATAATTACTTATTTTCAGTATTAAAAATACTGGATAATAAGTAATTATCAATGATTCTTAGTATGATATTTCTATAAGGGTGCATGTAAGAGCCGATTTTTCGCTGGTTCGTGTTATGTAGGTTTAATATAAAGAAACAATTAATACAAATTTTCAATTAAAGCAAGTTTTTTTTTAAGAAACTTTTTCTTGCTTCTTAAGGTAATAAATATGGAAGCGGTCCAATAATAAAGGGGTCTACAGCTTCTTGATTTCATTGACTTCTTACTTTGCTTTACGCGAAATTTGCGTCATTTATGTATTCTGTTCTGTATTCCTTTTCTACGCTGAAGAAGGTCCGAACCGAGGACCTAAACGTACGTGATATTTATAGAAAACTTGTATTAATTGTTTCTTTACATTAAACCTACATAATAGCGAAAAATCGGCTCTTACATCCTTATAGAAATATCATACTAAGAATCATTGATAATTACTTATTATCCAGTATTTTTAATACTGATAATAAGTAATTATCAATGATTCTTAGTATGATATTTCTATAAGGGCATGCCTACTGTTTATATTTAGAATTAAATTGATTTTGATAAAAGCCTTATAACATTATTAATTCTTTCTTATTTCTTTTAATTTGTAAGAAAACAACGATATTTTACAATTTTTATCATAAGATTTATGAAAAGAATTCATTCCATCTAGTACAGTATGTCAAAATAGCACGGGAACACAATAAGTATAGTAAGCTTTAAATTATAAGAAATTGGCAAACCTCATTCGATTATTCTTGTAAAAATAAACAAATACAGTTGTAAAATAACAAATATAGTTTAGAAACGTGTGGGAAACATTTTACAAACGGTTATGAAATGGTATATACGTTTAGAAAACGTGTGTGAATCCAATATGTGCTACTAGGAATATGTCCCAACTATAGATATAGAAAACAACAAATTGACATAAGACACTGACATAAAACATAACTGATTAGAAAAAAAGTTTCTTATTCAAAATATCTGAATATTACAATATTGATATTTATCACATAATTACCTGTGTAATAAATACTTACATATTCGTACTTGGTTAATTATATTGATTTTACTTCTTTTTTTAATATTTAAAACATCTGCACTTTGTTTAAGTTAACATGTACTTTTCGTTTTGTCTTTTTTTTTGTTTAGTATTTTTGTTTTAGTAGTTTTTTTGTTTAATTGATATTTATCACACAATTACTTATGTAATAAGTACATACATATATTTGGTACTTGGTTAATTATATTGATTTCACTTCTTTTTTTAATATAATTAATTTAAAATCTACATTATCTATCTAACATCTACATTTTGTTTAAGTTAACATATACTTTTTGTTATGTAGTTTTTGTTTTGGTATTTTTTATTTGGTACTTTTTTTATACGTACTCGGCATCTTTTTTTTCTTTTGTAAAGACTGTTCGAAATTATCGAGGGAGGATTTGCGAAAGTTTTAGAGTGTGTTTGACAACCTTCGGTTTCTAGCAGTTATAAGACATGAGAATATTAGGAATTAGTTTCTTTTATAAAACAATAAGAATAAATAAGTCCCCTTTTTTTTATTACAAAAACGTTTATTTTAATGTTTGAAATAATGTTTTTTTTACGTTATAAAAACATTTTTTTAACATTTAAAAAAAAGATTTTTAAACGTTTTTATCGTTAAAAAAACATTATTTTTAACATTAAAATAAATGTTTTTTTATACAAAAAGGAGACTTATCCCATTATTTTTAATGTTTTTGTAAATGTTTTCCAAATGATTTTAAAACATTTTTTAAACATTTTTTTGGGTATTCATGTAGATACTACGCGGATGTTTCAGGGTTCGTGGAATTTTAACGTAGAATCCACATCACATCGATGATCGAATCTACGTGATTTAGACTACCGTTTTTAAGTGGATATCCACTCGAATATCGCGTGGACGTCCTCTCGCTCATCCACGTGGCGTACTGTTTTTGTCAGAAAGTAACTTCTTTTTAATTTTTAACTGAGTTACTATTTTATTTGAGTAACTTTTAACGTAAACTCAATTATTTTATAACGAACTAACTTTTAACTTAACTCAGTTAAAAAGTAATTTACCCAACCCTAAAGATTTCTTTATTCAATTTGACCCATTCCACTTGCACAACACGAATATTTGGAATTTTCAGATATCCTATATGTGTTTCTTATATAAAATACTTCAATATTATAATTCTTCCTACTTTTTTTTTCATAACAGTATTCATTCCTAAAATCACAAGTCAAGATAACAATTAGCGATATATTAGATACATTTTAAACTATTTTTGTAATTGTATGCACTTATTCCTCATAAGAAAACTTTATATTTTAAATAACCTGCTGAAACAATAAAATCGAAAATTGTAGATTATAGATGCAACATAATAAAATGTCAACAGCAAATGTGTCTTTTAAATTATTTTAATAAAATCATTAGTTTATATACAATAAATTTATTTATTCTTTGCTTCACGAAGTGCCTTTCGCTCTTCTGCCCTCTTCTTTTGAGCTTTTGGCTTAAGATTATGCTTTTTAGCAAAACGCTGATTTCTGAGAAACTTCAAATCCATCTGAAAGATATAAAAAAATAATTTATTTATAGATAAAACTAGTAATACAGTAAATATTTAAATGATATGAAAAAAATCAATAAAAGAAAGATAGAAGCATTTTTTCCTTGATAAGTGTCATAATATATATATGTATTCGATAAAATTTGTCTTTTCTGCAATTCTCACAAATCTACCTATTGGATAGCAAATACGTTTTGAAGTTTAAAGCAAAAGTATTGTAATCTTTCTTACATTGGCTGTACAATATATTAATATTTATAACAAATTTTAATGGCTATATATGTCACATATATATAAATACATATGCATGTATATTTAATTATTGCTTGATAAATAACATATATTTATTACCTCTCAATAAACTTTAGAACATAATTTGCAATAGGAAATAAGACCAATAGGAAATTTTATAAAAATTATAGTTAATTATAGTAAAGTTTTATTGTAGGTGTATTACGAAACAAAAAGTATATATGTCTAACTAAAATTGACTTAAAAATATAAAAAATACATGTAGCTTAAATAGGATGATTACACATATTAGCAAAACTTACACCAAGTGTAGACTCATGTCTGTATCTCTTGGGCTTTTTTATACCATTACGGTGAGCCTTGCGGTCTAGAAAAAATAAATTTATTATAGAAGAGGAAAAGTATTGCAATAACTTAATATGAAAACTTTAATATATTTAATATATAATATTAAGTATTCTTTTAAATTTAGTGAAGATCTTAAAAATTATAAATCTAACCACATTATCTTATGTATCTAACCACATAACACATATGTCTTAAAAACATTCTATTTTTCTCAGATGCTTTTGGACATCCTTAAGATGTAATTTGTGTTATGTGGTACATTATGTTTTGAAAAACAGCTTTCAAATTTTGATGATAATTTGACTTTAAATATACTCACTTTGGTTATGATTTGTGTGATTTTTTGACTTCGCCATTTTTTAATATTATTCACTTCTATCTATAAAAAGATTCGAATATATTATCAAAACACTACAATGCAAATTGTTAAGGTTAAGATTATATGAAAATCGTCAGTAAAAATTTTTGTAAGTAAGCAAACTTATAAGATTAATATTATATTTGATAAAAAAAATTGTAATTTTAAAAATATGTAGTGTTATTACAACAGATTGACTGGATTTTTAAGTGGAAAGTTATAAAACCTGATATACTCGTACACAAACCCTCGGAAGCGGAAGTAGAAAAGAATGCCACAAAATATCTAGCGATGTTAAGGGTCTGCAAAAGCTAAAAGCAAATCCTGAATTGACTCTGGAGACCTCGTACGGTAAGAACGCGAAACACAGCCTGGTTTAGGCCTGGAACACAATACGCCGTATGTCGGAATTGGATGTCGGAATGCAGCCGATGGTTCAATAAGTACCGATCTACAATAGGTGTAGTAAGCTTTAAGCTTTAAGAAATTGTCCAATCATAGTAGAATTATAGAAAAATAGTCAATCATGATTGGTTAATTTCTTAGGGTGCGATTAGATGTAGCGCGGAATCCGATAAAGTAACTAGAACCGCGCACGGTGAGCCGCGTCTGTTTTCTTTCTTCTATTACAGCAGAAACTGCGCGAAAGCGGCACGGGCTAGTGATAAATTCTCATTTCTATACACTTTTAAATGGAATTAATTGATTTAAATGCAATTAATAAATAAATTTGTTGAAAAAATAAGAATATTGGTAAAATGTGCACAGAAATAAGTTAATATATTTTAGAAAATGAAAACAAATGAGAATTTGTCACAAGTCTGTGCCGCTTTTCCGCGCAAGTTTCTGCTTCATGTAATAGAAGGAAGAAAACACCGCGCGCGGTTTCTAGTTACTTTACCGCGTTCCGCGTACCGCATACCGCATACTGCGTTACATCTAATCGCAACCTTACGGTTTAAAGCATACTACACCTATAGTAGATCGGGATTAATGCAGGATTCACACCGCTTACGACATCCGATATCCAATAGAAGAACAGCTAAATATTTCTAATATAGAATTCAATTCTCCATTGGAAAGTTATTCTTTTATTGGATATCGGACGTTGTACGTCGGATATTGGACGCGGTGTGAACCCTGCATAAGGCCATTTCTACAATACGTCGTATGTCGCTGTCGGACGTCGGAACGCAGTTGATGGTCTAATGAGAAGAACTCGAAAAACAAATCCTCTGATTGGCTCATCAGCTGCACTCCGACATACGACAGCAACATACGAGGCCCGAAGGCTACGGTCCGAAATACGCTCATTGCACTAACAGCGTGCTCACGATCGGTCCGATTTATTTCATGAACGTTTTTCATGAGCGAAATGACGTCATGAACTGATGACGACACGCGCTCACAGTGACCCTAAGGTGCGTTCCTTTATTTACTGCGAGTATTGACGTCATGAAAGTATACTGCTAGTAGCGTTCCGTTTTAACTTCGAGCACTGTCGAGGTGCAAGATGGCAAGTGGGAACGCACCACTTTACTGCCACTGCTTTACCTCTCCAGCTGCAGTAGCCGCAGAAGAAAGTGACATCAAAATTCATGTCGTCACAAACTCGTCGAAGTGCTTTTGCAGTGCACTGTAACCTATTTAGGAACACTGTTGTAATATTGACAGTACTTGGAGTAAATAACTGAACGCAGGTCTAGTCTGAAGATGGGTCGTCGTGAGCGATACGTGATTTGCGCGGAAAAATAGGAAAGCGTATAGAAAGAACGCGTATAAAAAGGTCGAAAGTCGTCGGAAGTAATCTATTCGAAAGATCAACAGCAGTGTTACATAATAATAAAATTTGTATTACAAATAAGTATTACAGCAGCAATCAAAATCAATACAACATATTGAAAATGTATTTTGAATTCTTCCGCTGTATATCCAGGGATAATGCAGAATTCACACCGCGTCCGATATTCGACGTACGACGTCTGACATCCAATAGGAGAACAGCTTTCTAATATAGAATTCAATTCTCTATTGGAAAGCTATTCTTTTATTGAATATCGGACGTCATACGTCGGACATCGGACGCGATGTGAATCCTGCATAACTCTTCCTACAAAGCCTTCAATTCGAGATCTTTTGTCTAATTTTCTCTTCTTTGTAATCATAATTAAAGCGACATACAAATAAATATCTCTTCATTTTCTTCATCACTTGAAGATGAATGAACTACAAAATTGAAATAATTATTTTCCGAATCCTCGAATATAGTTTCCATGCATTGTAATAATGTAGCTTTAGATTGAATATCTATTAAAAATGTTAAATGTTCACACTTTTTGCTGCTCTGCACAGATGGATTTGTCGTGTTTTTAATGTTGTTATGTCCAACAATACCGGTGCACATTTCTTTTTTCCTACCGAGTACGCCCTAGGCAGAAGAGCCATCAAGTAGAACCTAAACTGTCTTTCCTCTCGAGGGGTGTAAGTAGATGGCGCTTTCGCCAAGTTAGAATCCCCACCCCACTAGAGGAAATCCGGTGGGAAAGGTAGGAGAGTAGAGAGTCGTGAGGCACAGTGTGCACAGTTTTACTCCGCTTACAGCATGACGTAGGCCACGCACACAGCGAGCGACCGAGTCCGTGAGCGGCGGCTCGACAGCGGCGCGCAGGAGGGGATACGCGTATACGGCTGCTTGCCGTGTACGCGCTTCGACCGAGCTATAATATATGTCGGTCGCGTACACCATAGCTATCGTTCGGGGAAGAAAGAGGCAGCAAATGCATGCTCGGAAAAGAGAGAGCAGACGGCCGGCGTGAAACTTATGCTTATGCTGTTTGTCGTTTCTCGCCGTGCGCGCACTTCCTTCTCGCACCTATTAATTATACAAATATTTAAATTACATACAAATGTGTTAAATATTAAACATCAAAATATTAAGAATAATAAAAAGATAAATGCATCCGCTTTTCATAGATCATTAATATAGATTATTAATGATCAGATCCAAGCCGATGTTAATAAATATATCTATCCATATAGTTCGTCCTATACTTTCCAACAAATTTATTCGTTAATAATTTGAATTGCACAATAATTATTGCGAAAATTGAAAATAATAAAAGATTTTTCTCTTGAATTTAATTTTCTTCATCCGCGCACATAGAAGTTTAGCATTGTCAAATGTCCTCTGTTATCTATTACAACTGTTGTATAGATTATTTTAGAAAATAATATCTTTTCACATAACTTTACATAAGTGTCATTTATTACCCAGTAAGCAAATTGAGCGCAGATTGCGCGCAGATTGGCAGCAAATTTGATAAAAAATCTACAGCAAAACCATAGCCATCTGTGTCTACATTAGGCTACGGTTTTGGCGACAGATCTTGCTGTCGGGCAATTGGTGCCAAATTTGCAGCAAAAACCACACAAAGCCTGCAGCGCAGCAAGGTCTGCGCGGTTTCTGCCCCCAATCTACCGTCAAATCGCTACAAGCTCTGCGCGGTTTTTGCTACAAATCTGCAGCAATTTTCCGACAACAAGCTCTGCCGCATATTTGGCGGCAATTTGACAGCAAGATTTGATATAACAGATCCTGCATCAAATTTGTTATCTATTTGCCATCAAAAGTTGATAGCAAGCTCTGCTCGAAATCTGTTCGCGCAGGTTTGGCTATCTGGGTATTTACACATGCGCGCGCGTGTGTGTACATATGTACATATACATATAAACATATATATTAATATCATATATCATAATTTATTTTTAACG